TGAAGATTTCAAACCAGCCCAGGACACAGAGATACACGGGACACATGTGGCCAGTTGTGGAGCTGCGTGTGTGTGGCTGGTGTCCATTTCTCCTCACACACACCCTCCTCTCTTCTCAGACTCCATCTCCACAGACGCATGGCTCAAAGGCCACAGCCCACTCTCAGCAAGGTGACTGAAATTTTGCTCTCCCTGGGAATGCCCCTCTGACTTCAGTCTCCCTCCTTCCTGCAAATTCTGGGCCAACTTGACTACTATCTTCATCTCTAAGTAGGTGACACAGAGTTGACCAAGTAAAGATTCCCCCTCATGAGAATGTCATGCTTGCCGGTGAAAACATAAGACCCAGGGACCAAAGTTGGGGGCTTGGGGCATTGAGGAAAGAGTGCTTAGGGGAGGCAGATGGTGGACAGCCTGTGTGGATGGCAGTGGAGTGGAACCCTACTGTCCACTGAGGAGATGAAGATGTTCAGCAAGAGCCTGCAGGACCCCTGAAGTCTTGGTGCCTCCCATTCCTCTGCAGAACCCTGCACAGTCACTGCTGATGGACATACAGACACACACACACACACACACAGACACACACAGACACACACCAGCATATGTGTACAGACTGCGTAGCTCTGTGGATGTACAAAAGCAAGAGTACGTTGATAGAGCAAAGCTCAAGCTTAATAAAAAATTATATTACAGCCAAACGTGCCTGTCACTGTGTACTGGGTCTGTGAGCGGACACCTTCACCATCTCCAGACCCACCCACGGTTAGCACTTAATCGTAGTGCATCTGTACACAGGAGGGAAAGCCACAGTCCTATACACCAGTCACACAGTGCTGATGGGGATTCTCTGACATCACTCATTAGTCAACAGGGACGGCAGCTTTGTCCTTCTGTGTCAGTGCAGTGCTGACCACTCAGCACTCAGGCGCCCAGGCAGGTTTCCTGATTAGTGGGAAAAGGCTGCCCCAGCACAGCCCAAGGTGCACGCTCAACGCTCAACGCAGCTCCTGCACTGTGTCCCCAGGAAGCCAGCGTCTTTGTTAAATTGTGCAGAGGGTTTGCTTGTTTCTCACTATTTAAATGACAGTGCAGAAGCTCGCTCCAAGTTTCTGTAGGTCCTGCGGTAAAGTTTCTTAAGAATGAATATCAGGAAATCATTATTGTAAAGTTCTCAAAAGTACATGTTTTTAAAAGGAGTTTGAGTTCAATATGGGATTTTAAAAAAATTCCAAAACTCCTTTTCTTTAAAAAATTTGTCCAGATATTAAGAAAATGTAGTCACCCACTGTCAAGACAATTTTTGCTGATATTTAAAAGCTCAAAATCACTGTGAGGAAGCAGAACTAAAGTGCTCCTTAGACCTGCTGAGACTCCACTCCTTACTCTTGGAGCCGGAGTGGAGGACTGGGGATGCAGTAGCACAGCCTGAGAACGCATACACAGCTGCCACATTGCTGATCCCACGTCTTAATCCAGACTCATGTTACAGGTCACACATCAGCGTGAGGTGCACAGGGGTGCAAAACAGATCCCTTGGTCCCTGCTGTCAGAGAGCTCACAGGAAATGGCCCACGCGCGGCATGGTCAGGATGTTGTGGCACAGACAAATCTGTAGTAAGAGCAGCAGTGTTTTGTAATAGACACAGACTTCTTAAGTTTTATTTTGGTCCATCTGACTACTTAAAAAAACAGTAGTTGCTTAATCAATGCCTGTTAATGAGTGTATTTATTCTGGGTGGGCCCAATGTTGATCTGTTTTTCTTCCTTGCCAATGTCTTGGCAGATCTCATTATCAGTCAATATATATGTGGTGTTTATTAAAGTGCATCTCCTAAAACATCTGCAAGTAAGTTCATCAATAGTTCTGGGTTTTTGTCAGGAGATGAGGATTTGGGTCCCAAGCACATCACGCCTGGTGTGAAGCTCCAGCAGGTCACTTAGAGATAGGAAGATGCTTTCTAACTTCTGAAGAGGATTAAAAGCCACCAGTCAAGACCCAGAATTGCCAAGGTGCTAAAATTGGAAGCAACCCGGAGCTCACTATTAATACTAATAGCACATGTGTGCTATTTGTCTTCACTTCTAAAAACCACAGCCTATTTATTAAGTTATATATTTATTCTGCTGACTAATCCACTCATGTATGCACATTAATTATGGATCTAAAACATTTAAATATGAACATTTCCTTAAGTAAAAGCAATTAACTAGCAAGAGGAAATCACAAGTCTTTTGAAAACAGTTATCATCATTTCTGATATAACTTTTAGGGATGGATATTTGATTCAGGTATTCGATCGCACTGTGGGAGCTTGGAATTTCTTAAACTTAATTACTTAGTGTTTAAACCCTAGAATTTAATGTGAGGTTAATACTATTTTGATGACATAGCCATCGGCACCGTTAATTCCACATCACAGATATCTTTTCCCGGCAGCAGCCTGCTCAGACTTACGAGGATCCTACAAGGGGGACTTCTCCCAGGAGAGTCTGCTTCTGAGGGTGGAGACAGGCGGTGTGATGGGCAGGGGAGAGGATGCCTCCTGTTGTATGGGTCTGATTGAGAACCACAGGCCTATCATCTCCAGAACTTCTTTCTTCTATTTCCAGATGCTTGTGCTACTACGCAAATGTGCCCATGTATTGGAATGTCCAGGAAATATGCACTGACTCAAACTTTCTCAAAGTTCCTTGGGAAACCTGGCGGGACAGCCAGATGTCCTGAGCCTGGGCTGCCATCAAAGACAAACGAGGAGCTTTGTCAACCCAAGAGTGCCAAGTGGGGGCTGAGAAGAGATTCCAAGGAAGCCCTCTTGGTGAGGGTGGGTGGGTGTCAGGAATGGAAAGACGGAAACCCCTGTCTCCACCCAGGCCTTGCTAACTACTGCTTGAAGAACAAAGGAGACAGCAGAAGGCGGTGGACAGTCCAGTGACCCTCTCCCCTCTGACGCTGGCCACATGAGGCTGCACACTCAAGCGTTACCTTTGGGGGACTTTTGCACCTCTATGAGAACAGAGCTAAGTGTGGGCGAATCAAGAACCACTCCAGCGGGTATCAGGAGGAGGGGAGACAAGTGGTCAGGAACAGCAGGGAGACACAGGCCACAGCCTGGCCCAAGGCTCTTCCCGGGAAGCTGCCTCGCGAGGGCAGCACAGTGGAAGGTGAGCCCTGGCGCCCTGGCCACAGCTTTCTGCTCTCTGGTGAGGAACAGGGACAGGAGAGGCGGTTTGTGACATAAGCCAAGGCATCCAACTGTGCTGAGTGGAGGGGGCACTGAGGAACCCTGGGTGTGCGTGGGAATGTCCTCCTGTCCACCCTGTGCTAGGAAGGCTATCCAAAGGCTTTGCCGTTGCCTTCCCAAGTGTCAGTGCAGTCCAGGAGCCAGGAGCGGGGTATGGATGCATCCAAGCAAGAAGCACACTGCCAAGCACGAGGAAGGGACCACAGCACAGGAGAAGGGTCCCCAGCGTGTGCTCCACCTGCACGCACTGAAAACGGTCCCTAAGAGCTCTGCAGTGTTTGGAGGGTGAGATTCTGAAGGCTGGGGTCTCTTAAAGAAAGCCATGCTTATCAATCCATCCCAGGCTGTCCACCATCACTGGATTATGCATAGGAATCAACTGAAACGCTTTGACTTGGTGAGTCTTTTCAATGGGATTCTCATGAGAGTGAAAAGTAGGCCTTCTCAGGACATCGGCCACTCTGTTTTGGTCCAGTCTTAAAATCCATCAACCATATATTTTTTTTTTTTTGTATTAAGGGGACTGAGGCAATTCATCTTCCTCTGGGCACCTGGATTAGCTTGGGGTCTGAGGGGTGATGATTATCCTCCCAGAAATTCATTTGCTCATCTGTCAAATAAAGGCAGCAGCTCTGATGAGCACCCACATGATTTCACACTAAAAAAAAATCTGAATTTCTAAATTTCCCATGTCCTGGGGTCATTTTCATGAAATTTTAAAATCAGACTAGTAAAAGATTGCACTATTTATATATTGAAAGCATTTCAATTGATTAATCACTTTTAGTTATCCAAAGGAAATAGCTATTTTTGTTTTTAATTGGGCTGTGACTAAGAATGTTGCAAATGGCAATTATTATAGTGAAATTCTTTTTTTTTTTTTGAAAAAGCAACAATTAATTTCCTTCTCTTGTCTTTTTAATTTATATCTTAAAAAGGAAACCTTCCATACTGATTTTCATTTTGGGAGGTCCCAGAGATCAAACCCAGTGATGTTTTAGGGATGAGCTCCATCTCCAGCCCTTTTTATTTTTTGAGACAGGGTCTCCCTAATTTGCTCAGATTGCCCCTAAATTTGCCCTTCTCCTGCCTCAGCCTCCAGAGTTGCAGGGAGAAGGTCATCTTTGTGCCACCATACCCAGCTGATTTGCATTATTACAGAGTACTGCAGAACACTGGTTAAACTGTAGGCTGCAGGTCAAATCCACGCTCCACCAACTCAAAGAAAGGCTCTCTGGTGAGTACTCAAATGACTGTTGGTTCTATCATCGGGGGAATGAGTGGTGAGAAAAGAATCTACAACATCCAGTTGCTATGCAGTTGTGTGTATGCAGTTGCATTATATATGTGTGTATATATATATATATATATATATATACACATAATATATAAAGTATAATATATATTTTATATATATCTCGAAAGCCTTAGGAGCCTTCATCAAGAACAAGCTGATGGGGCTGACCCCATTTTAAGCATTCACTCTAAATCCTTCATATCCATGTTAGTCAGCCTTTGGATGGTGTGCATTATGCCACCATCAATCTTTAACCCCAGCAGCTCTTCAAGGTCATAAGCTCTTTCCTCTTCAGGTCTAGCTATTTGATTATTAAAAAATATGAATACCTCTAAAGAGATAAATTTCAAACTGCTGCTTCTCCTAATGTTTCTGAATTTACTGGTATGGAATCAGACACGGTGGGGGACGGACAGAGAAGATCAATAAAGGCACAGGGTGGGCCGACGCGAGTGGCTTACTGGAGTAGGTGAGTTGGAATCCTTGGTCGGTGTCTGACCCGTTGCTGTTGAACTCCAGCCACAGGTGATTGGAGGTGCTGTTGAGGGTCAGCCCCATCAGCTCCTTCTTGGTGAAGGCTCCCAGGGCTCGAGACGAGCTGTCTCTTCCGTCATAAACCTAGTGAAAATTCACAGCATGAGTCCTCTTGTTCCCCGCTATATTCTCATGGTAGCAATTTTAACAAGACATTCGAATCCTCAAAGACACACTTTAATGAAGTATTCAGAAGCACTAAATCATCTATTTTCTTTGAGCTTCATCCTTCCCTTCAGTGCTACTCGCCACAGACTCCATCCCATCCTCTCACACTGGCTACCTGGAGAGCTCTTTCCTGTTTGTGTAAAATTAAGTGAGTGTTTCTGTGCATTCCTGGGTTCTGCTGTCTCCTCTCGCCCCTTCCTCAGGGTGGAAAGGTGGGAAGATGTAGCAGGTTCCAGAGGCGAGAGTCTCGCCCAGACCCAGCTGTGTAAGAGGATGTCCCTCCCTCGTTCCCCATCTAAGGCACGGAACCACAGCACTACCGAACCCCAGCCCAGCCACAGTTCTCAGGCCTGCAGGGGACTAGCCTTGGATTTGCTGTCATGAAAGAGTCCCGTCATGTAATAACAGCAGATGGGTCATTGTGCCTGGAACACTTTGTATGGGCCGTCTTCTGAAGTGACTGTGAAACTCAGCGGCTATGATCAGTCGCAGAAGGCAGTGCACACAGGGCTTGGTGGTGATGGGATGTCTGGGTGAGGGGCAGGGCTCCTGGAGGACTCCCCACCTTCAGGGAGCCACCTGCACCTCAGTAGGAGTGGGTCACAACACCTCCATGGGGACCCCACCCTGTGGCACTCTCTGAGCTGAGGTGTGTCTGAGGAAATGGCATCAACATCAACTCAGCCTGGTGGCCTCGTGCATCCCAGTGCAGCTGGAACACAGGGTACCATCCTCGTGCCCCTCCCTCAGGCAGAGAGCCGCCCTGTGGACCAGGCCACGGGGTGTCTGGAAGAGCGTCCAGTTTTTCCTAATTGAAAGCACCGTAACCTCTCAAGGCCATCCTCTCCATGTAGGTGCTCCCGGGCCTGGTTCCCTCCCCCTCTGCCCGCCTCACGTGGACCCTGGCTCACTCCTCCCCATCACCACACCCATTGCCCAGCAGACTATACACACCAGCACACTCATGAGAAAGAAGACACATCTAGAAGCATCATTAGTTATTTTATTGCCAGTAATTATTGTATATACAGTGTCATGTAATCATTTTCTCCCTTATTTCCTTATTAAAAGGCTACTGCCATAGGCTATGGTTTTTAAGAAGTCTCTATGACTTTAGATGGGGCTTCCATGAACTTGGAAGGCATCTGACATGCTGACAGAAGGGTTTTAAACCCCGAGGAAAATCTGTCTCAAGGAAAAAAAAAACATCAGGTCTCCCAGAAAGGCCAAGGGCACCTGGCTAGGCCCACAGAGCTGGGCTGGGTGTGAAACAGGACTCGCGGCCAGCTCTGCTCAGTCCTGGACACCACCTCCCACATGGCTGTATCCACCTGGCTCCCTCACGGGGCTAGACCTTGCACCCCACAGAGTGTCACCAAGTTGGTGGCCTCATGGTTACAGCAGCAAAGCTGAGCAGCTTGAACACTTAACTCCTTGACTCTCCATAACAGTGGGTGGCTCTATCGTGTATGTCCACGTCACCGGTGCTTAATGCTGCCCTTGACTGAGGACACGAGATCAAGCCTGAACCAGCTTTGCTTCATTGCCTGTCTCATGGTGAGTGTGGCTCAGGATTTGCACACATCACCAAGAAAGAGCCAGGTGTGATGCCCAGGTAATTCCAGGGTAATGAGCAACGGGCCTGCTGGGTCTGCACATCTCCAGGTTGCAGTTCTCATCTAAGCAGCTGTCTCCAAGCATTCTTCCAGATGTTAGAAAGAGCCTCGGGGCCACCTGATTCACACCAGGTGACAGCCATCTGCTCTGAGGACCCTCTCAAGCTTGCCTTTAGTCAGTGCATCAGAGGGATGTGGCCCAGGGAGCAAGTGAGCAAACTGGGAAACCAGGCATCTCCGAGTGCTGATGCTGAGTTCTCACGAGATCGCTCCTGCTGCCAGGAACCATACCTCAGCTCTTCCCACACCTGCTTTTCACAATGTTTCACAAGAGCTGTTTGTCTTACATGTCTTTGGGGGGACTGTGGGTAGTGTGCCTACATAACGTCTTCGTCTTTGCTACTGGATCATGGCACGTGTGAAAGATTAACGTGAACAGATTTTGCTCCAAAATTAAGATAATTTAAGCACGTTTAACAGAGATATCTATCAGAACATTCTACAAAACATAAGATGGCAAAATATTTTGGCATTTTATGTGATTGACAGTTTCCCTGCAACTAAAGATTCATTTTTACTTTTCGTTGTAATCAACAAGTTCAAGCTGCTCCTAATTAAAAATGAGCATGATTTCCTTCCCTCCACTTGGACATTATTCATCAATGCATATTTCACACAGTATCTCTCATCACTCACCTGTACCAGAGAATAGTCACTCAAAAGTTTTGTGTTAAATTTGAGGCTGTCAATGAATTCAGAAAATTCTTATGACTCAACTTCATAATTTTTTTTTTTAGATTAGCAGCAATGCTCCAGCTTCCTGACTGCAAAACACTTCTTAATTACAGCCCTTCATGCTCTCAGCAGGAGTTTTCAGAAAACTACTAAATCAAAGGACCGCCAGGGTAAAACTGCTCTGTTAAATGATGGCTCTGCAAAGTGGTGCACCTTGTACCTGAGAGGCAGCCAGGCACTCGGGTCTGTGAGCTGCTCTGACCCTGCACATCACTGCCCACGAGGTCAAGAGGGTCAGATCACCCTGAACAAAGCCACAGCCAAACAGAGCAGCCAATTTCTTAGAGCTTCAAGTGATCTGAATCTGTTGAACTGGAGAGGTGTCTCTGTGTGCAACCATGTAGCTGCAAATATAACTGAAACCCACTTTAGAGGGGAAATGAGCAAGTGGCCCTCCCTTTCCAGGCATCAGCTTTGGTGTGGTCCAGCTGCCCGTCTCTCCCCACGAGGAGAAGCTGGCTGGGCCAGATGACTTACAACATTGGCCTTCATTGCTCAAAGCCTGTCTCTTTCATCGTCCTGGGTCTGCAAACGCCCACCATCCTGTTCCCGGGCTTTGCAAGGGCCCCACTTTCCTGAAAGAGTTACAGGGTAGGTGAGGTCTATGCCAGAAGCCTTAGAAATGGAAGGTGATTCCAGCTGGAGATGAAGTTGTAGGAATCATGGCAGAGCTGGGAGCCTGCTGCCCGTGGTGCAATGGTCATGGTCCAACCCAGCGACTCCCTGGCTGACCACAAGAGTAGCTGGGCTTGTCCCCATCAGCACACCAGAATCCTCCAGCTCCAAACGTGACAGCCACATTCATAATAAAGAACACCTGGAGAAAGGGTTGGCCTGGGGTCCCGCAGGTTTGAATGATTTCCTTGTGTGCTGGGCATGATGTCACAAACATCATATGTTAAATTATTTAGTCTTCAAAACAGCCAAAAAGATTGTACTGTTGCAGGGTCTTACACATAGAGAGCAAAGGCCATGCATACCAAATAATTTTCCCACAACATACTACTTATCGATGTTAGTTGGATCTAGGATCATAGACAAAGTGATTTCTAAATCCACACAGACTCTACAAAATGACACCACACTCTACTTCATCAAAGCAACTGCATAAATAAATGGAAACAAATTATGTGTATATGGAGGTAGATCAATATATACCCATGGAGGTCGATATGAGAATAGATGGATACATAGATGGAGAGAAGGATAGAGGATGGACACATAGGAAGGAAGAGGGTGATGAAGAATAATGGACTGGTGGATGGGTGATGGACAGGTGGGTAGACAGGTGATAGATGGATGGATGGTAGGGAGGCAGGCAGGTGGTAAACAGATGCACCAGCTCAGGCTTACCTTTAGCGTATCTCCTTCCAACAGCTGGAAGCTCCGCGCTCTGAGGCGGATCCCCCTGCCAGCTTCCGTCTCTATTTTATAGATACACTCATGGTTATTATCATAATTGGATGGGAAATTTGGAGACAGTAATGTTCCTTCATTTCCTTTCACACTTGCTCCACATTCAGCTAAAATAAATAGGACATTAAAAAAGAGGATTCAAAAGTGGAATTACTGATTTTAATAGATTAAAAATTCCAACATTATGATCACCCTCTCTTCTACCAATGCATGTCCCTCATCTATGCCTTTTTTTAAATTATAAAAACAGAGTAGTGGCTTACTTTTACAGCTTAATCACGGGGAAGAAAAGACATCCCATTCCCCCCTTTTCAATAGTTTCTTGGTTATTGTAATAGAACGGCCTTCCTCTATGGATGCAGCTCACCACCCTATGAAGAGCTCCCTGGCCACATCTAGGCCTGGCCCCCTCTGCCCACCTGTTTCCCCCTCATGAAATGCCCGGTCATCTCCACGTGCCGATCCTATTGTGAGACCAGCATGCTTTCCTGCTCTTGAACTTCCTGGCATCAAGCAGTGCAGTTAAGGGGGTCTAATGTCACAGAAAGCAGCAGAGCCTTCTGATGGGCCACAGCACTGTCCCGTCCACGCCATCTCAGGATGGAGACCATCCCGTGGCAATCACTATGCTCTTTCCCCTTTTCCTGATGGAAGAACAGGGCTGTTGACTTTCAACTCCAAATTCACACAAAACAAACTTCCTTGAACCACGGCAAAGCGACAATAATAAAACCCTAGTTTCTGTTGATCATGGAAAGTCACAAACCCTCAGCATCTGTTTTCTCATCTATGACTGTGAACGGTGTCAGTTAAGAACGCCTTCAGCTCTAAAATTCCATGAAAAAAACAGGGTGAAATGAAGTCACTACGCACACAGACACACATGTGCACGTGTGTGTGACAGACCCCTGGGCTTCGGTATCAACGACTTTACCAGCCATGAGCCTCCAGCAGGGTGGGTGGGGTGATGAGGACCTGGTCTTCAAGAGCTGCTCTCCATCTTCCCCCTCCGCTGCATGAGATCAAGAGGATGGAGGGAGCCTTGGAGGGATGAGGGGCAATCGAGTAGCCACGGGCTCCCACCCAAGAGCTCTGCCTCTCTGCTGCCTGAGCAGCTGTGGGAGATGGCCCTATGCAGCCTTTCGGAGCAAGCCAAGCCAAGCCAAGCCCCCCAGGTCCAGGCCATCTGTGAGTGCCACAGGCACCGCTGCAGAGGAAGAGCTTTCTCCTGGGACCTGGGGCTCCCTGTCACCAGCTGTGGTGTCTGTATTCTCCTAGGCAGGTTTAGTTCCCTTGGCTAGTGGTGGCCGGCCCACCTACCCTTCCCTCCACACTACCAGAGATTTTTATCCTATTGTTTTGCTTCTTAGCAAACTTGCCACACGGAGAAATGTTTTACACATTTGTGAGTGTCTGAAAAGTTTTAAAGTAGGTTCAAGCCATCACAACGAGGCTGAGGCATAAACTAAAATAAATGGTGTTTGCTAGCACAAATTTTCTAAGTTCTCTACATTCACTCATAGTTCTCCCAGTGGTCCTATGTGACAGATCACTAAGCCTCACTTGTAGATGAGGAAACTAAGGCATGCAATGATTCACAAATCAAGGCTCTTTCCCAAGGTCACAAGGTGAACGCAGACTTGAGAGGTACAAACAGTAAGGGCTCAGGAAGAGAATGACACTCTTCATAGCCTGAATGATGCTGAACACATTTTATATCAAATTGTTCACAATAATGCTCCCAATTTATAATGATGAAATGAATATTGGTAGGTTAAATTTTCTAGAAGAATATGTTATTAAGGACATTTAGTTGAAACAGGTCACCAGTAAGCTGAAGCTTGTGTTAGTCATCAACATATAATCATTTTTCATAATATTCCAAGAAGAAAGGGCAAGAAAGAAGAATTGAGCACTGTAAGCCATGGAAGAACATGAAATCAAACCCAAGGAAGTAATTCTGTACATCTTTTTGTTGGCATTTAGATTTGGAGGCTCTTTTAAAGAAAATAAATAACAAATGGTAGTAACTAAGTCTACACTATGCAAAATAATAACTGCAAAATTAATTGCCCGCTTGTGACTGATACCACTCTGGAGACAATGTTGCTTCAGCTTGTGGGAAGAGAAGACAGGAGCAATAAGCCAGCCTTCTGAGCCCCCACGTCTCACTGCAGACTCACCTCAGAAAGCAAATCTGGTGCGTCTGAGCAGGTATTTCTCACAATCTGAGGCACGATGGAGATTTATCAGTAAATAGGCAATGACGACTCTTTGAACCTAACTTACACATGACAACACATCTGCATGGATATCATTATTCCTGGGCAGAAAGAACCAAGATGTGTCTAAGAGCCCAAGAGAAGTTCACTAAACCTGGGCCTACACTGGAGGAGATAACCAGAGGAAGCCAGGCACTTAGGCTCAAAGGCAGATGCTCAGAAAAACTGCAAGATTTAAGGGATCAAAAAGTCAAAAATTCTTTGAACTTGACTCAAGGGATCCAGTGTAATTCTTCATTACCAGAGTAATTAAATGATTCACTTTTTACATTTTTTAATAATCCATTTAATATTACTTTAAGGTAAATGGATACAAATTTTCTTGATATGAATCATTTGCTGTATTATAAAGAATCCACTGAAATTTTAATTAAAATTGAATTGTTATGGAGAGTTTTGGAATGAAACTAATTATAACTAAATTAACCATGATAGAAAGGAGTCAATTGATTTTTTTCTTCCTTGAATTTTTGTGTACAAAGGCGATGACCTGTGACACCAATGTCCTTCCTCTTCCTCTTGGGCTGCCGTGACAAGCACCCCCCTGGGCCTGGATCAACAAGCATTGTTCACAGAGACATTGCCAGGCCCAGGATCCCTGTGGCTTAGCTAATCCTCCACAGTGAGAAAGGCCACGCCCACTGCGGCAGGCCACGCCCCCCAGCGCAGTCTGCACTGCCCACCTGCGCCTTGCCCCAGCTCCCTTCAGACACAGCGCTGGCCTCAGGGAACACAGGTGAGTCCCTGTGGCCTCAAGACCTCCTGGAAACTGTTAGGGGCTCTTGAGAAGGCTGTGAGGTTGCCGGGAGAGTGGGTTCCGTTCACTCTGCAAGGGTGTGTGCTTTGGAAGCACAGAAATACAAAATGGCCAATCAGCAAACCTTGCCCACGACAGAGGAAGTGAGAATCATTTAAAACACAGAGTCCTGCATTTACTCAGAGAGGATGTAAAATGGTATTACATTTGACCCATTTATTGTCCTATGCACATTTACTCTTTAATCAATCCTATTATTGGATTAGCTCTTAAGAATCAGCAGCAATTAAAGTTCTAATTTTTAATTTTGTTTCAAATTTTTGAATCAAGAATTTATTTACAGAAACTATGGACTCATTGTCAAAGGAAAATAATGTTTAAATAGAATTGGTCAAATGTATTAAAGCCAAATGCTTTTTAGGGTTCAAAGAAACTTGAAGTCACTATACACTCTGCCTCTGAAATGCCTGTGACCCATTAGGGTAGCTAAGGGTCCGCAGCTTGGTGTCTGTTCTGCTGACAGACTCCGTTCTCCAATCGACAGGGTTTACCAGACTGACTCCGCGAGAGGCCATCTCCCATCTCACGCACGTTTTGAAGAACTGCCTCCTCAGGTCCTCACCTGGTGCTTTATTCAGATGTGGGTGCACAGCTTTAAGACCCCCTACCTGGGAACACTCTGTGTCTAGGGAACTGAAGCCAAGTCCCGGAGGCAAATGGACCCACCTCAGCTTGCCTGGGGCTGTTCTGATAAGCCTGCAAACACTTCTCAGGTGGGAGCACAGCCAGCCTCCCCACAGGTGCCCAGCTGGGCCACCCACTGGCCACAGTGCAGGCTGACAGGCTGTGGTGGTGCTGTCAGTCAGTGTGACTGGGTCCTGCCACGCACACCCAGCCTGGGGCCGGATCAGCCTCACACTGGAGGTAAAACTTCCCTCCAGTGCATCTCAGTGCTGTCCACTGTAATGCTGGGCTGCCATGCTCTGGGGACTGTGAGAATCATCATGGAGATTTCCTGGGGACACTTATCTTCCTTAAATCTATTCTCTATCTTTTGCCCTGCTTTCCAACCAAGATGCCACAAAGTATCTGAAATGTCACAGAATAGGCATTTTTGTTATTATCAAACAGTCATGCAGTCATGCTCCTAAAGGCCCTCAGCCACTCGAGAGTCTCTGGCCACAGTGAGGCATGGAGAACAGGAATGGGAGAGGAGATCCAGGACTTGCCCCGAAATGGTCTTCTGTAGCTTGTTTCCCCTGGGCAACCTGAGGGTGGGGTATGTGCTCCATGGCCTGACACGGAGCTTGCCTGAGCAGCTGTGTCAGACGGCAGGGGACGTCTGCTGCTGTATCCACGTTGGTGAGACAGAAGTGCTGAGACACCAGCCAGGTCCTTACTGACCAGGTTGAACCCTGGACCAAACCTTCTCTGAAGGTGCACCTACTGTGGACGTGTACTCACGTCACCAACAATCCTTCATTTTGACATAAATCATTTAGGACAGCTTTCTCTGCCTTGCAGCTAAAGCAATCTTGAATGGTACTTGGGTAATTAAACGCTCAGAGGTGCCACAAGAGAGATCTTGAGCACGTCTAGAGGAGATGAACAGCATGGGGTATATGAGATACATCATCATAAACAAATAATTAGATAGAAAACGCCCAAGAGGAGTAAATGCAAATGAAAAGAAGACTTCTCCTCCATTTAGGAGTGAACTGGAAAAGAGGGAAAGGGTGGCTCAGGTGTTATCCAGGAAGTGTGGTGAGAACCTGTGGATTAGGAAAATGAGGGGGTGCTCACGACTCGGTCAACATCCTAAGGCCACCTGCCATCTCTTGGGTGGACTTGCAAATTTTGGTCATGGACAAATCATGGCTATTTCATAATTTTAAAGGAACACAGAATATTGCTGAATCAAGTTTTCTAGATCTAAAGAGAAGCTTTAAGGGAGGTCACCTGGTTGGTTGGGTGAACAGGTGGTCTCAGGGTGAGGTGGCTCACCTGAAAGCAGCTCTCAGCCTGGGGAAGACCAAGACACAAGGCAGCTTTGATGGCACAGGCAGCTCCCAGGGAAGATGGAAGACTGCTTCTCCACAGTTCAAAAGTGGGTAGAAGGGTAGTGGGGTGCACTCGGAGGACAGGAGTCCTCGTCCTGAAGGGAGGGGCCAGCCCTCCATGTAGGGGTGCTTGGAGACAGGCACGGGGTAGGAAGGAGAGCCAGGGCTCTGTGGTGGGGGTCTCGGTTGCAGCAGAAGCATGCTGAGTGGGAGTCCTGGGGGACCTGGGCGTCTGGCCCCTCCAGTGAACGGAGGACCCTGTGTTGCAGGGTTGAGAGCAGTGCCCAGGGTGTGGGGTAGGGTGATTCACCAGGTTCTGCTGAGGGACAAATGGGTTGAGGTCTTGGATGTGGACAGTGCCTTTTGTCCAGAGTGGACAGCCTGTGTTTCCAGGGCTGGTGGGCTCCATCCAGCAGCCAGAGGCCCAGCCCAGGAGAGGAGCAGGAGAGTACACTGGGCCTGGACACTGTGACTTGGGTGAGCATGACCTGAGAGCTGGGCACAGGTGGGGTCCTTCAAAACCAGGAATGAAGAGGGGTAGGCAGTGGGGGAGGAGGAGGGACACACCCACTGTGCCAGCTGGTGTGTTTTGAGGCTATCAACAGCACCTCTACTTAAAGGTATCTTGGCCAGGTGGGCTGGGAGGAAAAATCAAGAGGGTTTATAGGGTCAGAGCCAACTTAGGTCCCATATGTGGGTGGTGGTTAATAGCGGGACCCAGCTTCACAACACCTTAGGAGCTCTGCGCCCTTGGGTGAAGTTCTCAGATTCTTTGTGTCCTAGAATTCCCATATTTAAGATAGAATGACCATAGACCTGCTCACTGCATACAGATTAAATAAAATACTCATGCCTGCCCTCCAGGAAGCGCTAAGGACCCGTCGCTGCTCTTCCAGGTCTAGATATTGTGGAATATTCTAGACAACAGTGTAACGGGCAGAATAACAAGAAAGGCAGTGCAAGGTAATGAATCTAGATAAAGCAGAATGACAGCAATGGACAGGGTGACCGCAGACCAGCGAGCACCACGTGTTCGGAAGCTTGCAGGATCTCACTGAGGGAGGGTCGTTTCCCGGGCCTCCGTCTGTCTCTGGCAGGCCTGTCTCACCTGGGGATCGGGGTCCGGGCAACTCTGGTAACACTCAGATCATTTGCACAGGCTGTGCTTCTTTCAAAGACAGTTTTCAAAACCTGCCTCCAGTTCTCAAGTGAAAGTCACAACCAAAGTGGGAACTCTGCTCTCAGGAGAGGGTGGCCTGGAGGACTGTGCGGACTGGGTGGCCTGGCACGAGGGGGAGGTGGTGTAAGTGGGTTCCTGAACCTGCCTGACGGCTGCCGCTGGATGGAAACCTGAAACACTGCCTGGTGGTTGACTCGCACGGTGTTCCTAAGTCACGCTGAGGGTTGGAGAGACGGGGGCCATGAGGAACCTGGGGATGACGCGTTGACATGCTAGACCTTCCCGTGTGTAGCCAGATCTTATTCCCAGGGTGACCCCGGCTGCCCCGGAATGTCGGCTGGTGAGATTAGTCCTCATGGACTCCGAAAGCACAACACCAGGGTGATCTCTCACCCACCTCTGCTTCTAGGCCTTTTTCTCTAAGTTAAAGGAGCAGGAGGCAAAACCCACCATGTGCCCAGCATGGCTGAGGCCAGTGCAGACCTCTGCCTGAGCTGGCGATGGGCCTCCTGGCCATGGTCAGCACCTTCCTGCAGCCAGGGGTCAAGGGGTCCCTCCAGGTCCTCAGAGCAGCATAGAGCCAGCCACCCCTGAACTCCACCTCCGACCAGCACTCCCACCCAGCAAGAGCCCAGGACGTGTCTCCAAGTACTGACAGGGAAACTCCTCGAGTCCTGCCCTCTCTAGCCTGGGGCCACCTGACAGTCCACAGCAGGCCCACGTCAGAGGCTCAGCGGACAGGAGGCCAGGGTGCTGTTCCAGATGGTCATCACTGCTCTGCCAGGAGAGTGTCACTTCCAACCAGTGTGTTACCAGAGGCCCCTCTATTCCACCTGGGCGTCTACCTTATTATTATTTCCCAGATTACTTGTATACACAGGTACCTGTACTTTCCCTCCATAAATAAGCTTGACAGATGATTACGTTCACTCTTGTTCAGTCGTAAATTTTAGAGCTGAAAGGGACACCCTTCACAAGACAACTCCACAGTGTGGGCTGGGTCCAGCCTGGGCCCGCACCTCCCTGTCCACCCCACTCTGCTTCCTGGCTGGGCGGAGCCCTGTCCCCACAGATGAATGAAATGAAAGCGTGTGACCACCTACCCACACACCTTGGCAGAGGTGCACTCCACACACGGCGGCCCCCACCCAGGCAGGCAAGCTTGGTGGCACCTTCTAAGCGGTATCCCGGGAAGCAGGAGAAGGTCAGCGAGTCCCCCACGCCAAAGTGGAACCCGATTCTGCGGCTGAAGGCAGGGACTCCAGGGTCGTCACACGGCTCCAGGTCATACTCTGAGACAGGAGGAGAGAGAGTGAGCATGTGGGGTTGGTCCATGCCACACGGGGACCTAACAACTCAGCCAGAATTGAAAGAGGTCTTGTTAAAAATATGAAAACAGGCAGCTGGTCCCAAGCTCCGCTGTGCTCCGGGAGGGTTCTGTCCCTTGCATTAGGAGCTCTCCTTTGACAAGTGGTGTGAATACTAATATTTTTAAAATTCAGACACGCAGCACTGTAAAGTGAAATGACCCGCTTCGGAGGCGCCCCTTGGAGCATGTGGGGCGATTTGACTGATACTTCTGCCGACATCAGTTTCTGCGCTGCTGTTAAAGGCACTTTGCAACCAAGGAGACACAGAGCACAAGAGAAAAGCCATGTGCAGCGTGGGTTGAGGAAAGCTCCCGTGGCCCATTTCACCTCTCAACCTGACCCAGGAATGTATAGAAAATATTCTATAAACTAGAAATTTCTATAAACCACCCAAGAAGAAAATGCTGACACACTTTTCTAGAAGTCCTTATGCTGGCACGTTGCTGCGCCCTGAGGGGGAGTTTTCAAGATAGTGGTGTTGATAACAGCCCTTCCCGACCCCTCCAGACCTCGGTACATGGGCGAGGTGCTCTGGTTGATGCTGATCCCTGGGTCTGTTGTGAAGTCTGGGTTTTCACTAACTGTAAGTCAGACAGAGTATGGACAGGAGCCTGGATGGAGCTTCCTGCTGTGCCTCAGTATGAGACGCCGAGAGCAACCCTTCATCAGCGTTCTCCATATTTTCCAAATCTGAGTCTTTTTCACTTTTACCACTTGTCTGGTTGCTTGTTGGCATGTCATCGCTGGACTGATGCCACAACCCCGTCCAGGGGCGTGGGGTGCTCTTCCCACGCTCCTCCTCCTCCTCTCTGAGCCTGCTGGTCTTCCGTGGGGCTGTCAGATAGTCTTTGTCCTGCTCTGCCTTTGGGTGAAAACCTCCCGTAATGCCTGTGTTTAGACTACTCTGGCCATTCTTAAAATGTAACTAACTTGACCTTATTTTAGTGCAACCCAGGAAGAAAGATATAAATGATATCCTGAAATTGCACTCAATAAATACCTATTGAAAAACTATCACGTACAAAACATAATGATCCAATACTTAGGAAACAGTAAGATGGTGCCATCTGGGGAACTTCACCTCCCGTCTTGCTGAGGTCCTCCTTCTATGTGAGATGTACTACACCTTCCCCATTCAGATGGGACCTTTCACGCAGTTTCTTTCCAACCCACTGAAAAGTCTCCCGGAATGAGAGAGTGATTTGGTATTACTTTGCGATAGACTATTATATTATGCAAAGAAACATCGCTCTGCTGGCTCTGCTGGGGTTCTTGGCTTGTGTATGTTTAATTAGTGTAGATGATGGCCTTGGAGAGCCACCTGCCTGGAGAGAGAGCCTGGTGCGGAACCGTGAGATTAGATGGTGCCGGCTTTACACCCTGTTGGGTCATGGAAGGATGCTCCTGTCGATCACTAAGCAGTTTCATGATGTGCATTCGCACTGTTTTCATCCCTCATCTAGCACAAGGAAAAGGCGTGGCCCTCAGGATTCCATCTTCCCTCCAACTGCGTTCGTCCTTTGTCTGTGGCCATGCTCCCGCTCACTCCCCGGGTTCAGAGGCGTGGGCTGCAGTGCCACCTCAGCAGGAGACATGCTACAAGCCAGCTCATGACACGCCACCAGGCCAGCTCCTGGCTACTCTCAGCACTAGACCTTTGAAGGACTGAATGTTCCCTGTATCCCCATCATCTGTCCTGTGTCCCCTTTGCCATCTGTCACAGCTCCCACAACGTCACTGTGACCCACAGCTGCCCCACCCCAGCCCTCTGTACTCATCCTCTCAGTGGGTGTGGGAACCTCTGGGTGATCTCTGCTTCCCTAAAAGATCTCCTTCCCGAGCTTCCACAGTACCCATGGCCCTCCTGACCCATGGCCCCATCTTCCATAGGAGACTTGGATCCTCACCTCCAACAGCAGAGAGCTGAGCCCAGCTGTGACCCGGGGCCTGTCTCTTTGCACCTCATACCTGCCCAGCGTCCTGGTCCTGTGGCTTCAAACCAGCCGACACTGCTGACTTTCAGGCACGTTTCCTAATGAGCCTATCTTATCAACTCAAGACTCTCCACCATCTCCTTTGGGAGTATACCTTAATTTTTCCAAAATAAAATTACGTATTTCCTCCAAACCTGCTTCACTTCTGTGGTTTCCTTGTAACACTGCATGTCACTGACCCAGCCTCTTCTCTCCAGCCTCCCTGCAGTTCACACACACAATCTGACCAGTTCTTCTCCAGCGTCACCACCGGTCTGAGCCTTGCATCTGGCCTGACAGATGCTACTGAGGCCTGCGCTCCTTAGGAGGCTCCATAGAGGGCCCACCTGTCAGTCTCTGCTCTCACCCTTGCGAAGCCTTCAGGGCACATTCAGAATCAAGGCGCAGTGGCTTCTGAGTCCTGCAGGCCAACCTGGCTCCTGGCCCTACCCTTCCCTCTCAGTTCACGGCTCTGGCTGCAGGGGCCTTCTTGTGTGCCCTTGTGGCCCCTCCCAACACTGCAGCCCCCCAGGAAGCCCACCCCACGTTGTCCCTTCTCACACACATGTCCTGGCTGTCCATTTCCAGTGTATCAGAGCCCCTCCCTGGAATCTCTTCAGGACAGTGTCTTTTCTCCTGTCCCCGTGGACCTGCTTATTGCTCTCTGTGCCCCTGGAGGCTCTGCACTGTGCCTTGGTCCCCAGTGAATCCAGGCTTCTCGTCTCCAGCCCTGGACTCCCGCCAGGCTTCATCCAGCGGCTCAGCCGCACTTGCCAAGTGGAGAAACACATCCCAAGAGCAGTGAGCTCCGCTCTGTGGGGCACTGATGGTTCAGCAGGGGGAGGAGCACCCCTCTGAAATCTCACGGGAGAGGGAGACAGCCACGTAGAAAGATGAGGTTAGGAATACACAAGTTGTGCTTAATGATGTGATGTGTTCTCATGTTGAAATCTGTGCTCCACTCTCACAGTGGTAAGGAGAAGGCACTTGAGAGGAGGCCATGGGGTCTCTGCCTTCACGGATGGAGAAGGGTCCTTGTCATAGGCGCCGGTCCTTGGTGAGGAGGGTCCTCTGGCCCGACCTCCTCCCTGGCTGGCCCTGCTGCTGCCCTCCACCTGGGCTATGGTGAAGGAGCATGGGGCTCTTGCCCGAGGCTGAGGACCATTATGTGAACTTGCCCCCACCACACCTACCCAGGCTTGTCTTCATGACTGTGGCCTCAGATGTCCCCTGCACAGCAGGAACTGGACTGGGACGACATGGGGGAAGGAGCTGTGCCGCTGGGAGACGGGAGCAGGCCCTGTGCAACCGGGACCACAACGGGCTCTGGGGCCTGCAGAGGTCTGAAGGAGACACATGAAGACAGAACCTGCACGCAGCATTGGGAAGTGGCCACGCTCTCATGGTTTGAGGAGAATGACCGTGAGCTGTGTGAATTAACTGAGAGTTGGCATTCTAGAAGCAGAACATGCGGGAGCCGGGTCGGGCACCAGTGTGCACAGACAGGGGCCTGACCCTGAGTGCCAGGGGCACCCAGCTTGGCATGGGCATCTCCGGAGGCACCTCACTCCCCAGTGTTGCCATCAGCCTCTGCAGGAGCAGCCAGGACACTCCACAGGGAACTGCTGTGTGAACGCAGCTTCTAGAAAGAAAAGCGACTGCACTGAGAGGAAGCGTCACAGCAGAAGAGCCCAGGGAGCCATTTCCCACACACACCAGGGAAGTCCCCCGAGGGGCCAGCCCTTCCTCTGTGCAATGAAACTGCTACCTATGTGGTCACTTGAAAAACAGACACCATGATACCAGCATCACCTGTGAGCGATTACCACCCCATTTCCAGGCAAAATCTTTCCAGATGAAATTGCGTCTTTAGCGACGCTCAGGAACTTATTTCCCATGAAATGGGATTTGCTCTAAAACCATGCCGTGTGGCTGTCCTGGTGGGGTGGCCACTTCTGTAAGTTTCCTGTCATTTTCCCTCCATGGCATATAAATGAACTGCAGGTGTCCAGACTGAGGCTTTGGTTTCCGCAGCCAGGCGTATCCTGAACTCCCCTGCAGAGCTCCGTAGACCTAGCAGAGATCGCTGGCCGGCAGGTGCTGCTTCCTTGATTCTTGCTTAGAGTCATGGGAGAGGCGGTTCCCACTGACACCCTGAATCTCGCTAACTTCTATGATTGGAATGCATCCCTCCAATTTCGCATCCTGGAAACCTGACCCTGGCATGGGGCACCGGGTCTTGGGTCCTTGTGGAGGGGATTAGGTCATGGGCTGCCCAAGTAGATGGACTCAGCCACTGTGGCAGGCTGGTGGGGCAGGCGTGCTCTCCACGGTCGGCCATATGAGGACAGGCTTTGTCCCTGCTGCCTTCCTCCACGCAGTGATGCAGCACCTGGATCTGGAACCCCAGGCTCCACCACGGTGAGGACGGAATTCTGTTCTCCATCGATTTCCCGTCTCAGGTCTTCACTGCAGCACAGACAGACGGGGGCACTAATCGCAAGGCGCTCATGCCTGCCACATGCTGAAGGCAAAAGACTAAGAAATGGATGGGGTGACACTGAGAAAACCCCGTGGGCCCGAGAGAGGCCCCAGGGCCGGGGCACAGCCTGGCCCCACCTCCTGCTCCCTCCAGGGGGAAGTCCACACAGCTCAGGTTGGCTCAAGGTGCGAGGACAGGAGGAAAGGAGTGGTGTTCTCATGGGGTACTGATCGAGTCCCACGCGGGGGAAAGATACGGAGAGGGGGATTTAGGTGTTAGCATTAAGAAGATTTAAGGCTTTGATCTACAGAGGAGCCAGTCTCATGATCACTGCTGATTACAGTGAATTTCCAAACCAAGTTCTGGAGCCAGTTCTGGAAACTCCACGGAGGCAGGGAAATGGTAGGGACAGACGAAGACAGGAGACAATGGTCCAGGTTGGAGGAAGGCCTGGGGCAGCCTTTGAAGACGGCACTGCACTCCATGGAGCATGACCGCCCCACAGCGTTTGGCAGGTGGCGGCCAAGTTCTCAATACAGGTAGGACGTGATCAGCCCTGCAGGGCAGAACTGGGAGCAAGCAGAGGCCTTCCGTCAAGAGGTCTGTGGAGTACGGGGACCAGCGGATACCCAATACCGCAGCAACCAACTCACAAGTGCCACTGAAACTTACTAAGGGATTTTTGGGACCTTAAGAGTAGAGGAAATCACATGTGATTTGGGGGGACCGGGGACCATCTTATAAAAGTCACGTTCCATTTAACTGGGAAGAACGACGTGGACACAGGATTTTCAGGCATCCGTAAGCACAGATCAATACGACAGCTTGCACCCACGGGTGACTGTACCAGTGTTCCCTCTCTGTCAGGGACTGTGGGCTGGACCTGAGAGGCCACTGCAGTGACCTTGATGAGCACATGCTCAAGGAGTGCTGTTCTCGTGGCCAAGTGTACCTTGCCCACTTTGATCAGTGTTTGCACATGCTTGGTGAGTGTTTTATCTGATCTGTAAAAAAATCTCTGTCATAAAACTTACACAAATTAAACGCTCTCACCCATACATACAAATAATGTCTGACACAACCCAAATCCCACCCAAATATTTTCTATACATTGTGATTAAAAATAAAACGGCTACTGAACTTTGGAAACATTGTCACTGTGAATGATTGTGCTGGGATAACCTGAAGCCATGCAGCCTGTGTGTCTGTGTGGGGTGTCCGTCAGGGGCAGGGCTCCATGCAGCACTGTATCTGCTGGGACAGCAGCTACGGGACCAGAGGACAACTGGTCCTGAGCCTGCCTCCCACCTCAGAGCCTTCTCCAAGGCTGACAGAGTGGACCGTGAGCAATGAGCAGGAAGTGCTTTGCAGGAGAGTTTTATTTGCAGTTGTTAAGGATAAACATTCAGATAAAGAAGACAAAAAGTGACATTCTGGTGCTGGCCGTGTGCCCTGGCACCTTGCCCCCTGGAGGCCCAGCCTCCCATACCCCACTGAGGGCCATGTGCTGTAGTTGGACACCCATGTGCACACTCCACAGGGCACAATTATTGCCAGGAGAGAGAAACAGGTAGAAAGGACCATGATACCTGAAAATGTGATGTTGAAGCCCTCGTAGGAAATAGAGAAGTCGGATATGAAGCGAAGCTGGGCGGTGAAGTTCCCAAACAGGCCGGCCTTGATGGTGTGAGGCAGCACCGACCCCGTGAGCCGGGCCACTGGCTCCAAGAAACTCCCGTCCTCTGTGATAAGCAAGTAGTCGTGGGAACTCTCCAGGTGGAAGGTGTGAAAGGTCAACTGGACCCCTGGGGGGAGGACAGGGGAGAGGCAGAGCCCAGACAGGACAGAGAGACAGGCGGCAGAGTTAACTGTGGCTGAAAACCATTTAAGGATAGGACATCAAGTTTAAGTCAAAATATTGAAATATCTTAACATGAAAATCTAGCTTTGAAATCTGAGATAACATGGATCAAATCAGGTAGTTTAGAAATGAAAGAAAGGACAGGGAGACCCCAAGCAAATGTTCAAATATATAAGCGCAGCCAGAGACCAATGTAGGTATAGATATAGATGTGGATGAATAGATGTACAGAGAGATGTGGGTGGAGACCTGGGTGTAGGTCTTCATGATGTCAAGGTGGCTAAAATTCTAAACAACTTTTTTAAAAATGGCAAACTTATGCAAAAAAGAAAGATTCATAGTACATTCCTACCATGAACCCAATGTTGTTAACCTACATTTTTTCTGCACAAAATGCCCTTTTCCTAGTCTGTACCATACTGACCTTCAGTATGAAAGTAAGTGTGTCTATTTGGCAAGGTGTCTTTGGATTTTATGAGGATTAATGTTTTGTATGGGATGGGATAATTCTGGATAGACTTAAAACACAAGCCAGGTACAAAAATTTCCCTAGGTTAATAATATAAATTAGAACTTAGATAATTGCCTATTTTCTTTTATTTAATCAAATTTATATTCTATTGAATCAGTGCCTCTATTCCTGATGATTATGCCTGATTTCCACTTTATCTTCACCTGCATCTACCAGTTTATCTGATAAAAGGCAAAACAAGGAATTAAGTTTGCTTGTAGCTTCAATAATTAAAGGCCATTTTTCTTCCAAAATCTTATTAAAAGAAGGAAATGGGAGCCTTCAATATGCATGAGGATGCTGCCTATCTTTCTGTGCACACAGCAGCGCCTCTCTGACCCAGGCTCCTGCCCTGCTCCTTGTCCTGTGGGTCTGAAAACCGTGACAGGCATACCCTTGCCGTGAGAGACTTCGATGGTCCACGTGCAGTTCAAGGAGTTAGGATAAAAATCTGGAAACCCCGGAGAGAGGACCGTCCCACTCTTCCCGTGGATGTAGCCTCCACATAGTGCTGGAAATGGAGACAGGATTGGAGTATCAGTGGTTCACAGCGACTGCTGCATGTTCTAAATGACATTGAATTTACATGAGGCGTGGAACAGGATTTATTGTCATATTCATGAAAAACATACAAAGCCTGAACTTCATTTTCATGGAAATCCCGCCCCCCCCCGCCCACCGCCCAGTTCCCAGGAAGGTGTCCCAGCAGCTCAGCAAACAGCCTGGACAACGGTGCAGGACAAAGAGACTCTGCCATCAGTAGCCCACGGGAAAGCACAGGCCAGGGCCCTGGGGCCGCTGAGTTCTCGGCAGCCCTTCCCTGAGCTATGTCCTTGCAGAGACATGCCAGGTTCAAGGCTACGCCAGGCAGCCATTTTTGAGGGAAGAAAAAGGAAATTAGGCAGAATGATTTCAGCAGAGAAGTAGTAATGGGGTCAGTAGGACATGGAGGTGGGCTTTTTAAAAAGACATTTTACTGTCTATATTTATCCTCACATAGCACAGAGTAGGGTCCACACGCATGGGGTGGAACGTGGTAATTCAGCTCTCATTCCCAGTGTGTGTCAGTCAGATCAGGGTGATCAGCACGGCCGCCATCTCCTCCCACATTAGAATTGCCTTGTGTTGGGAACATTCAGAACTTTCCATCAGCTCATTGAAATATCTAACTGATCACTGTCAGCCGAGTTGGGAGACGGTGCCAGGGAACACTGGAAGCTCGTCCTCCATCCAGCCGCGCCCTGAGTGGCCTCCAGTCCCCACGGCCCTACTCCTAACCGCTGTGCAGAGCAGCGTGGGGATTCCTGGGAACACAGAAACACAGATGTCCAGCTGCCATCTGACCCTGCCATCCCAGCACCAGGTGTGCACCCCGAGGAACCAAGTCAGGATGTCACAGAGACACCTGCCCTTCCAGGCCCACAGCAGCTCAATTCACAAGGACCGAGAAAGGGAAAGGACCCAGGTGCTCGGCAGCAGGTGAGTGGATAAAGATGTCCACACACAATGCAGTGTCCACACAAGGTGATGCAATTCACCTACAGGAAAGACGAGTCCTGCCATTCGTGACAGCACAGATGGACCTGGGGGAACTCCAGTTAAGGGGAAGAAACTGGGCGTGGAAGGACAATTCCTGCATGTCCTCACAAAGTGGGCATGTGAGTGCCAGGCCTGAAGCCCAGATGTGGGAGTCTAAACTCTTGGCCCTGCTGCCTGCCACATCGGTGACCCTTGGTGAGTCATTTGCCCTCAATGATTTCCATGTCTCAGCCTGAAAATGGAAACAGTGACAGGGCTCATCTCGCAGCAGGTGTCTGCAGTTACTGCCGCATGTGAATCAATCCTTGGTGTTTAGTAGACACTGAACGCTCACAGCACCAGCCTCGACAGTTCCAGGAGTTTGAACTTTGGATCATAACAACCCCACACCTGGACTCAGCCAGATGTGCCCTGGGTGTGCAGCTTCAAGGGGGAGTGTCTCAGCTTGCCTGAGCTTTTCTTCTTTCCTGTGGTGTCCCTCGAATCTCAAGACCTGGTGCGCTTTCCCATGATGGAGGCCCCGTATGGCGTGCACAGGCGGCAAGCGGCAGCCATGGAGAGAGACTCCTGGCAGTGCCCTGCTCTGGCCTCATCCTTCAGCTCAGAGTCTCCACGTCAAGGCCTTGTGTGTGGCACACAGAGCACAGCCAGGCTGTCTTCTCCCTGCAGCTCCTGCTGTGTGTCCTCGAGTCCCCCTGACACGTGTGACTGGGCCCCAGCACGCCCAGGGAGCTGGTAAACCCGACTGCTGGGTGAGTCTGTGAGGGAGCCTGTGGACAAGATGACAGACTGGATGGCGAGGAGATCCGCCATCCCCGGGTGGACGGGCATCCTGTCCCACAGAGGGGGATAGAAGGCAAAGGTGGACCAGGACAGCTCTCCTCCTAGCTGGGAGACTCTTCTCTTCTGACCACGGGCAGTGGCGCTCTTGGCTCCTGGGCCCTCAGACTCAGGCCTCAAGACACCCAGGGCTTGCTGATGGCAGGGCGTGGGGCTCCTCAGAGCCACAACTGTGTGAGCCAGGCTTTCAACTTCTGCTGTGTGTGTGTGTGTGTGTGTGTGTATGAGAGAGAGAGAGAGACAGACAGACATACATCCTGGTGCTCTGCCTTCTGGGGAAGCCTGCCTCTTGAGTGTCACTGAGCCAGTCCCTCCACTTCCCTGCTCCCAGACCTTAGGTGTCAGATGGGGCAGTGTCCTGCTGACTCCTGGGTCCTGGGGAGATGCGACTTGGCCCATGGAAACAGCTCAGGCAGGGTCTTGCAGGTGGACACTCGCCCGGCAGCCTCATGCCCTGCAGCTTTGCAGACAAGAACCTCTTTCATCTCCCCTCTGTGGGGCTCTACTCTGCCTGTGGATGGTTTGCTCTTCCCTCTAACCAGCTAACGTGAGTTATCATTAAATAAACTGATACCTGGGATGAATTTCATGTATTAACGAGTCTCCCAAGTTCTGCTTCATGAAAGCTGCTTCCACAAATGATGTTTCAAAAGGGTTAGGTAATTTGTGGGAGGCAGAGCTTGCCTTGCGGTGCTCCCCAGCCTTTTACGGGAGCAGGTCGCCTCTTTCCGAGGGGAAACCAAAGGGGACAGCTACCTAACAATTGGCAGAATAGAAGCCTTACAGAATTAGCTCTGGAATACCTCAGCCATTTCTCAGAAGGATTTCACATCTTAAAATTGCATTGAGTCTATTTGTCACTGTGATGGGGTAGCATTAGATATAAATCTTGAAATTGATTCATCTAATTAGGAAGAAACTGCTGTTATTTGGGCCCTGTCCTCAGGCCCAGAGAATAACAAACAAAATAGACAAAAACAGTCCGTCCTCAGAGAGCACGCGCTCTACTAGGAAGAGAAAGGCTGAGACCCACGATGATATAATGTGTTGGTGCTGGACGATGGCAAACCCCTGTGAGAGAACCTAAGCAGGAGGACAGGGTCGAGGGTGTGAGACCTGGGGGGCTGGGTCATCAGCCTCAGGGGCCAGGGGTCTGCCCTAGGAAAGTGGTCTATGAAGAGGGACTTGAGAGAAGAGAGGACATGTGGCACCTGAGCGTGAACTCAGGTCTGAACCTAGCAAGGACCGAGCCTCAACGCCACTGGGCCCACACAGAAGGACTCCAGGTGACCAGGATGGTGGGGACAAAGGAGAGAGGGTCCTAGGCGGATTTCAGGATGCTGACAGAGGGCAGGCCCCATGATGGCCTTGCAGCTCTCATAATGCATTTGGTGCTACTGACCCAGGAGGCAGGGCCTCTGCAGGGCCGTGCTGGAAAGTTACATGGGCTACCTAGGGTTTAGCGTGATCATAAGGTTGCTGTATAAGAACACACAGGAACGAAGCATCGCACGGGAGGACATTGGAGGCAGCTGGTCAGACAAGGGCAGACCCTGGCTATGTGTTGAAGGTAGAGTCACAGAATTTTGTGTAAGTGACAGGTGGGCATCATGACAAAATAGGAGGACTAGAGGATGACAGTCATCAGCCCAAATGTGAAGGAGCTGACAGGTGAGGAGGGGCACAGGTGAAGAGGCAAGGCCAATACATAGGGGCTTTGGATACACAAACATCAAGGTCTGTTGGACACCATGTAGAAGGTTGACCCGAGATGGATCAACAGAGCTCGAGGCCTGCTAGACTCCATGTAGAAAGTTAAATGGATCCATGGAGATAGAGGCCTGCTAGACTCCATGTGGAAGGTGAGGTGGATCCATGGAGATAGAGACC